GGGTGCTTCCGCCTCACCCCCATGTTCTAGGTTTTTCTAGGTGGTATCTTGCTCTTGAGTGGATGTTAGCTGTTTTCTTGAGAGGGAGCAAAGTCAGGGACAACCTATATCACTGTCTTGGTGACGTCACTTTTAACACAGCTCTTTAAAAGGTTCATGAGCCTTCCTGCACATCAAATGGCTCTTAGAAACCATTTTAATGATTTCCGTATAAACAAATCAGAAACATATGGATTAAATCTCCCTTAAAATATACACATGTAATTAAGGGGAGAAGCACTTGGCAAAGCAGGTTTTGTGATTTATCAAACCCAACATTTGAAAGACGGGTTGTGACATCTGACAAACCCAAACCCAGCAATCTTACCCATCCCTACAGCAGCAAGCATCCTCTGCTTCTAAGCAGGGCCCCAAGTCTACCTCACCAGGCCTCTGCCCTTCTCTGGACTTTTTAGAAGAATCTACTGGGTGGTAGCAGACAGACTGAATCCTTGAGCTCTGCAGTTGTGGTTACAGGTGTAATTTTCAGGAGCTGGACACCCCCCACCAAACACACACATGCAGGAGAGCTTTGCAGCCCAATCTTCTTGACCAGACACCCTGCTGGGGAAGTGAAAAAGAAGAAAGGGTAGCATAGGTCATGCCCCTCTCCCACCTCTGCCAGGCAGACCACCTCTCTCTGCTATCTCCCCCTTTGTATCGTAAGCCAACAGTTGGAGCCTTTGTATTTCTTGAGCCAAAAATGTTTGCAGGGCTGACTGATATGCCAAAGCTACCTGGGTCAGCAACTTCCCCCCAGCTCCCACAGGAACTAAGGTCATTGAAATTATTAAGCTCTGTGTCATGGAGGAAAGAGGGAGGAGGGCTGGCCAGAGAGTGGGGTCTTGTGCCCTGGCAGTACCCAGGGAGAGTTAGAGCTTCAGGGGAAGGGTGGATAGACCTAGGGCTGAGGTTCTCAGTCTGAGCAAAAATTCCTATATCTCACCATGGCCAGGAAGTAACAGAGCCCCAGAGAGGGGAGCCTGAGGGACCAGGTCCTTACTGTCTCAGCGCTCAGGCCTAGAGAGGCAGCAGAGGAAGCTGGGCTCCTCCTCAGAATATCGAGGTCCACCCTGGTATGAGCCTTCCTACCTCTGTGGCCTGGAGTAAGTCACTGGGCTTCTCTGACCCTTCGTTTCTTCACCTGAAAAGCAGATACTGCCTACCTACCCTCATGGGGCTGAAAATTTGCATTTTTTCAAAAAATCTAGCCTAAAAGAGCCGAGAGAGAAGCTGTGACTACTGCCTCTCTGCTGCTCAGTCTAAAAATATTCACAAGCTACAGGCTTCATTCCCCACACCCCCACCGCTAACCCCCAGCCAAATCATAGAGTCATTTGTGTTTAATGTTATCTATGGGCACATGTTTAACCCACCACCTTTTCTATTCCACATTTACCCTCTGGCTTTCCTCTGCCTCAGCAGCAGCACCACTGTTTTCATGGTGATGGAAGGAAGGAGGAAGGTGCAGGAGCGGATGGGACAAGGAAGGGAAAACTCTCCGACTGGCAGTCCAAACCCCAAAACAACCTAGCATCATGGAACCGCCCATTTGTGTTCTTCCACGGCTATGACAGAAGATGTAAGTAGACGTTCACAGTCCAAATTCTGGTCTATTTCCAGTTCTTGGGTTTCAAGCCCTTGAGAAAAGTGATTCTCAGTCTATCAGCCCAGGCAATGAGGTGGCAGCTGGTCCAGACAGGACACAATGAAAATGCCTGGTTCTAATCCTGCCTCTGCCTGAAGTTCCTCCCGTCGTAACCATAATCGCCCGTGAGAATTGAGCAAACTCATATGGTCACAATAATAGCAGAATGCATTGGCCTTTGTCAAGTACCAGGTTCCCTATCAGGGAGCTGTACCTGTGCTATCTGACTACAGCCCCATGACATGGGTTTTATTTTCCCCCCAGCAGGTGATAGGAGCCAACATCAGTGGGCTAGCCACTCCTCCCCAATGGCATCATTCTTGCTGTGCTCCCAGTAATCCCATGAGGTTAGTATTGTTATTACATTGACTGTCTAGCTAAGGATGCTGGGGATCAGAGGGCAAGAGCAACACCCAAGCTCATGTACCGGGCAGGCACCGCGCACCAAGCATCCTTCTGAATGTTTAATCCGCACCATAACCCCCTGAGGTGGGTCACTGGGATTACAATCTCCAATTCACGTTTGAGGAAAATGAGACACAGACAATCTATGCAGTCACAGAGGCCCTGAGTGTTGCTCTGACCCCTGGCCGCCCTCCTTCCCCACCAGTTTCCAAGCCTTATTCTCTAGATTTCTTGGAGAGTCTATGAGCGACCTAATGTCCTTTCAAAAGGTTTCTTTTCCATTTAAATCAGCCAGGATATATTTCTGTTGCTTGTAAACACCATGGGAACACTACAACCAGGGCTGACTGCTCACAGCCCAGGAGGCATGGGCACTGGTATCCCCCAGCTGATCCCACATATCTAAAAAACCCAATAGGAAGCATGCTGCTTAGGGCAAAGTGGGGCAACCAGGCTGAACCATCAGGGTGTCCTGCCCTCAGAGAACTCCAAATGGAAGAGGAAAAAAAGTATGCAATGCACTCCTGGGACAAAACAATTCTAAAACAAAGTAAAAAACCAAAGTCACATGATAAAACAGTGAACAAAAGAGGTTTACTGAGCTGGTTTTGAGAAGAACATTTGCATAAGCAGGGAAGGGGAGGCAGGGATGACAGAAATGGGGTGAAACAAGGTATCATGGAAGAAGGAGAAAGGTGTACTCCATGAACAGAGGGACTCTCACCTGGGGGCACAGAGGTGCAAGTAGGCATAAAAGGGTAGGTTGAGAGTAGAGTATTTTTCTTTCACACATACATACATAAACACACATGCACAAACTATACACATGTACATACTGACATATGTAGGTATGTGTACATGCAAGTGTGCATATGTGCACATGTGAATTTTACACCATTTCAGCCCAGAGAGTACTTTAAAAAGCATTCAGTTTTATCTGCATCCACTGTCAGACTATCAGTGGTCCTCAAACAAGCATCCTGCCCCATGCTTTACTTATCCAGGTGGTGGAGTTTCCACGGCTCCAGAGGCAGGGGCAGCCAGTCGTCAGAGAAGTGTCACAGACCCCAAGAGGCACAGGCTTGGGGTGCGAGAGTAGCCACTTAGCAAACCTCTACTGAAGAAGGCTCGTGAAGAAGCTGCTACATCGGGCACAATTAGGACCCTAAGACACACTTCTAATGCCTTGGAATGTGGCTCTTTGAATTCTCATGGTCAGTAGGACAGGTGCCCACACGCACAGTGCCAACAAGAAAGGCACATCAAGCAGGGACAAATGTTGACCTGGCCAAACAACCCGGCTGCAAGGCCCAGCCAGGGAGCGAAAAGCAGACCGCAGAAAACAGGTAGATTTTATCAGCTGCACTCAGCTGTGACAAGAAGTTATGCCAAGAGCACAGCACACAGCAGCTCATAGGCAAGTATCAAACGACCCTGCTATGTGCCCGCTCCGCTACGTCCAAGCTGCCCAGAAAGCATACGGTATATCAGTTTCCTTTGTTGGGGCAAGATTCCTAACCTAGGGATGTCGCAGCCAGCCAGAGACCAAGCTCTGAGCACATGTTGTGTGTACATGTCATCAATAACTAGATCTGAGCTGGCGAGCCCTCTTAACATGAAATACATTTCTGCAGCTTGAAAAGAAAAAAAGACTGAGGCTGGTTTGAATTAGGTGGAATGGAGACAGGAATTTTCCTAAAGTCCCTTCCTCTCTCCCTTGGGCAGCTAGCTACTCACTGCTTGGCAGAGACAAGATCCAGTGCCTGGCTGACCTCGGTCCATGACCCCACAGCCTAGCTGGGGAACCAGTGAGTCTGGGTAGGGGCGGTCAGCAGGCCCCACAAGGGCTGCTGAGGTTGGCTTTAAATATTACCTACCTCCATGGTTCAAGCAATCTATTAGGATTCTGCCTAGCAAGCCTCATGGCCATGATTCCACAGCCTGTGTGATCAATGGCAGCGCTGGTCCCTTATGTGTTGCTGCCATCGAAAGGTACACTTATGCCTTTAAAGCTCAAGGTGCAATTAAATCTCTATAATGGTGCTAATGGCTCGAGCAACCTTGAAGCAGCTGCCATATTTTACAAGACTGTTCTGAATTGTTTTATGTCTGAAATTGCTCTGTAAAATCTTGTTAATTTTTCATCTTCACTTGAGAATATATTTAATACTGAGAGGATGGCTTTCTTACAGCCACATTGCACAAAAGGGAGTTTCCTTCCTCAGCTAACAGGGTCACCCTGGAGTACTAGGGTAAACCCCACCAGACGAGGTTGAGTTCAGCCCTCTAAGGAAGCTTGGGCTCTAAAGGATTTGTCCTAATGAAGAGTCCGAAGATTAGGTCACAGGATATAGTCCAGTCTAGAGCCCACTGGGGACAGTTCAGACCATCATCACTGTCTCTAAGAGAGAAAGAGAAAGACAAACATATGGCTGTCCACATCAGCATGTAGTCAGGTTCCGTCTTGGAGCTCCCACTGCCCCCAGCTGTCTATAACTGTGGCCAGCAGGTGATACACGCAATGTTGTAATGATCTCATTACCAATCCATTCCACCAAATAAATGGTGACCCCCTACAGGGAGGGGCTATGTCTGGTTCACCGTGGGTTCCCCAATAAATGACAGAGCAGTTACTAGATGGGATACTGCCTCCTCTGAATTTTAAGGATGGGTAGTAGGTAAACCAGAAAGGGAGACATTAGGTAGCCCAGCCACAAAAGACAAGCTCTTTAAACAGTGATCTAGAATAATTTAGATATGCAATTTATATTCACGGTATCTCCTGATAACAACAACGGCAGCTCAGATGCACTGAGCACTTTACATGAGCAACTCTTGTTGCTAAGGCTGCAGACACAACATTCTATATCCTCACAATAACCCCCGGAAGGGAGGTGGTAGCCTCATCCCTATTTTACAGAAAGGGAAACCAAGGACTGGGGAGGCAAAATTACCTGCTTAGGATCACAGAGCCGACAAGGGGAAAAGTGAGACTCGAACCCAGAGCCCTTCTCTTGACCACTGCCCTCTGGGATATGACACTGAAACTGGGTGGGTGGCCCCCAATGTTTTACAAACCTCAGCATGAGGCAATGGGGCAGATTTTTACTTTGAAGATGCCATGAATTTCTGACTTACTTTTCCAGGAGGATGGTTCCTTTTTTAGGAGCCTCCCAGGCTTGAAAAAGCAGAGCAAAATCCTACTCACTAAAGGTGAGAATGAGGAAAACAACATCCTGAACTTAATGCATTATTATGAGATGGACACAATTATTATCCATGTCCTAGATATGTGGAAACTAAGATCTAAAGAGACAAAGCTGTGCATCCAAGGTCACAGCCAGTAAGAGATGGATGCAAGACCAACCAGAGGCAGCCTGAGGCCAGAGCCCTGTCCTTGGCCATTATAATCTCAATTTACAGGGGCAGATGGGAATTTGGGAGAAAGAAGTCTAGAGTCTATGTGAAGGCTAGATCTGAGCAGATCTATGTTCAAACCTGAACAGGCAGCCCCATTAAGGTCCATCTTGCTTTGTACTCTAGGCAAAGACCACAGCTGATCCTGTCGCAACCCCAGGAGCTTCCTGAACCCCTAAACACCTTATAAGAAATGGAGAAGAAGAGAGAAAGACTACACCTGGGGTCAGTAAGCTACAGCCTGCAGGTCAAACCCAGCCATCTGTTTGTGCAGATAAAAAGTTTTACTGGAACACGGCCATATCCGCTGATTTATGTAGTGTCTACAGCCGCTTTGGTGCCAGAACTGCAGAGCTGAGTAGTTGCAACAGACACTATGGCCCACAATGTCTATGTCAGTTACTATCCGGCCCTTTACAGGAAAGCTTTGCCAGCCCCTGGATCCCATGTTAGACTGCCTTATGCGCATGCAAGCCGTCTCTAGGCAGGCAAGCACATACGCCTCACCTAGCCAGCTCATGCCAACACACCCAGCTCGCAGTTGTGTTTTTCAAAAACCACAATAGCCCAAACCAGCCAGTGTGGTCCCTCACAAGTCTTGCTCTTTACCCTCCAAAAGGAGCCGCAGCGGTGAGCCTTACCTTTGTTGTACATGTTCGTTGGCACTTGGACATCGCTCAAACTGATGTTCACAGGCAAATTATTAAAATGGTCATTTGGGGCTAAGATGAATTCCTTCCCCAGCTCCAAAAAATTCCCATCTTTGTCCCTTTCGTTTATCAGCACAGCATTGAAGTATTCATACTGAAAGAGAAAGTCAAAAAGCATTACTTGTGGCTTAGGGCAGAAGGCTGTGAACTCAGACAGAGGTGGGAACAGGCTGCGGGCGGTCCCCTACATGCATGAATCCTGCTCTGGTCACACTATCTCTTTTAGTCTTCCCGACTGCCTATGGCTGCTTTTGCACAGATGTGAAAGTGCTAAATAAATATTTCCCAATGTCGTTAAATATTCTTAGAAAACCTTACTGCAAGGAGCTGCACGGTACTTCTTCATATGACCATAAAGAAAACTGTCCTAAAAATATTTTAATTCTTTAAAGTTTAAAGATAGACCCTGCCCTTATGCAGCCTACATTTAAGTTGAAGGAGACTTGAAGTCAATAAAACATAAGTAAATCTATAGTTTGCTGGGGAAAATAGCAAAACTGGGCAAGGCGGGGGAGCAGGAGCAGAAGCACATGTGTTTCTCTATGGTGCTCAGGAAAGGTCTTGGTGCTGTGGTGACACTCACACAGAGACTGAAGGACGGGAGGAACAAGTTGTGTGGGCATCAGGGGGGAAGCACCCCAGGTAGAAGTGAGGTCCCAGGCAATGGCCCTTGGATGGCAGTGTGCTAGCATGTTGTACACGTGGCAGTCTCATCATCAACACAGTCACGGTCACTATCAGCATCATCTAACGTATATAGAATGCTTACTTTGTGCCAGACATGATTCTAAGTGCTTTTCACATGCTAACTCATTCAATTCTCCTACCAACTCTACGAAGTAGGCTCTGTGAGTATTCCCACTTCACCAGTGAAAAAAACTAAAGTATAAAGAACTGACATATCTTGTCAAAGACTACACAGCTGATGAGTAGAGCCAGATTTCAAACACAGGCACTTTTACTTCCAGAATCTGTGCTCTTATCTACTGCGGAGTATTCCAAGATGGCAGGTATGTTGGAATTATGACAGAGAGGTTTTTTTTTAATTTATTTTTTTTAATTTACATCCAAGTTAGTTAGCATATAGCACAACAATGATTTCAGGAGTAGATTCCTTAATGCCCCTTACCCACTTAGCCCATCTCTCCTCCTACAACCCCTCCTGTAACCCTCTGTTTGTTCTCTATATTTAAGAGTCTCTTATGTTTCATCCCCTTCCCTCTTTTTATAGTATTTTTGCTTCCCTTCCCTTATGTTCATCTGTTTTGTATCTTAAAGTCTTCATATGAGTGAAGTCATATGATATTTAGACAGAGATTTAAAATAACTATGATTAATGGGGCACCCGAGTGTCTCAGTCAGTTAAGCGTCTGACTTCAGCTCAGGTCATGATCTCACAGTTCGTGGGTTCCAGCACTGCGTCCAGCTCTGACAATTCAGAGCCTGGAGGCTACTTGGGATTCATGTCTTCCCCTCTCTGCCCCTCCCCTGCTTGTTCTCTCTCTCTAAAAAATAAATAAACATTTAAGAAAAAAACAACTATGATTAATATGCTAAGAGCACCATGGAAAATGTAGAAAATAGGTAACAACAGATGCATAATATAAGCAGAGAGACATTCTAAGAAGGAATCAAAAAGAAATGCAAGAAATCAAAAACACTGTAATGGAAATGAGAAATGCCCTTGATGGCTTATTAGCAGACTGGACACAGTCAAGGAGATAATGAGTGAGCCTGAAGACATGTCAAAACAAATTCCCAAATTGAAAAGCAAAGGAAAAAAAGGGGAGCAGGATATTCCAGAACTTTGGTAAAATTACCGAAAGTATAACATATATGTAGAATATCAGAAGGAAAAGAGAGAAAGGAACAGAAGAAATATTTAAAGTAGTAATGCCCAAGAATTTTCCCCAATTAATGGCAAACACCAAACCACGAATCCAAGAAGCTCAGTGAACACCAACCACATGAATATAAAGAAATATACACCTAGGCATATTATATTCAAGTTGCAAAAAACCAAAGACAGAAAGAAAATCTTGAAAAGCCAGAGAGAAGGAAAAAAAAATCTTATCTACAGAAGAACAAGTATACGGATTATATCATATTTCTCTTCAGAGACCATGTAAGCAACAAGAGAGTGGAGTAAAATATTTAGTGGTCAGGGAAAAGGCCCTCCAACCTAGAATTCTGTATCCAGCAAGATTATCTTTCAAAAGTGAAGGAGAAATAATGACCTTTCAGACAAACAAAATTTGAAGAAACTTTTTGTGAGTAGGCTTGCATGGCAAAAAATGTTAAAAGTTCTTTTAGGAAGAAAAATGATACAGGTCATAAAGTCTGATCTATATAAAGAAGAGTGTTACAGCAGAAAAAAATAAAAGTAAAATAAAATAGTTCATTTTCAAGAATTTCAATAATTTCAAGATTACCTGAAAGTGGACTTTAATTAGCTGTAAATGTATATTGCAAAATATAAGACAATCACTAAAATGATATTCAAAGGAAGTAAAATTTATATGCTAAGAAAGAAGAAATATTAATTCATATAAGATGCTCAATTAAAGAAGTTCAATTAAATTGAAAATAGGAAATCAATAGGCAAACCATTAAAGAAGGCAAAAAAAAATTAGAAGACAGAAAACAAGTTGGGGTGCCTGGGTGGCTCAGTTGGTTAAGCTTCCTTCTTCAGCTCAGGTCATGATCTCACCATTGATAAGTTTGAGCCCCACCTTGGGCTCTATGCTGACAGTTCAGAGCCTGGAGTCTGCTTGGGATTCTATGTCTCCCTCTCTCTCTGCCCCTCCCCTGCTCACATGTGCTCTATTGTGCGCGCTCTCTCTCTCTCTCTCAAAAATAAAGATTAAAAAAAAAACTTAAACAGAAGACAGAAAACAAGGGAGAGAGAGGGAGAGAAAGGAAGGAAGGAAGGAAGGAAGGAAGGAAGGAAGGAAGGAAGGAAGGAAGAGACCAAAAAATAGAGAACAGTTGAAAATATGTTACATATTAACCCAACCATATTGATAATCACTTTAAATGTGAATGGTCTAAATATACTAATTAAGAAGTCGAGACTGTGAGAGCAGATGAGAAAACAAGACCCAACTATATGCTATCTACCAAAAACCCACCCTATACATAAAGAACAGACAGAATAGAAAAGACCGAGAAAGATATGCTAACACTAATCAAAAGAAAGTCAGAAGAGACATATTAATTTCAGACAAAGCAAATTTCAAAGCAAGGATATTATCCGGGGAACAGATGGGCATTACATAATGATAAAGGGATCAATTCCCCAAGAAAACACAATAATTCTTAATATATATGGACCTAACAACAGTGTGTTAAAATATATATATGAGGTGAAAACTGTTAGAACTACAAAGAGAAATAAATGAATTCACAATGATATTGAATACTTCAATACCCCTCTAACAGTAACTGACAAACCCAGCAAGCAGGCAATTGGTAAGGATGTAATTAAACTGAAAAGCTCCATCAAGGAGATGTAATTGGCATGTATAGAATCCTTCATCCAACAACAATAGATTACACATTCTTCTCAAGCTCACAGGGAACAATCACCAAAATATATCCCATTCTGGGCCATAAAACACACTTTAACAAATTTAAAAGTACTGGAATCATACAATGTCTGCTTCTATATTATAGTGGAATTAAACTAGACATCAATAACAGAAGGTTAGCTGGACAAATCCCAAAATATTTGTAGATTATAGAACGTACTTCTAAGTAATAAATGGATCAAAAAAGAAGTTTCAAGAAATTTTAAACTGAATAAAAATTAAAATATAATTTACTAAATTTGTGAGATGCAATAAGAGCTTAAAAGAAAATTCATAGAATTGAACACATGTGTTAGAAAAGAAAAAATAATTATGTAACATTTTACTTCAGAAAACTAGAAAAAGATGAGCAAATTAAATCCAAAATAACCAAAAGAAAAGAAATAATTTTGTTTTATTTGCAGAAGTCCATTAAATTGAAAACAGGAAATCAATAGAGAAAATGAATAAAATCAAAGGTTTGTTCTTTGAAAAGATTCCTTACAGTGAAAAGATATAAAGTAAAATCAGTCAAGAGAAGAGACTACATGGGGCAAAGTCCAGAGGAATCCATGTTCAGGTTTCTAAGAGCTCTCTGGTGCAATCACATAAGATGCGCTAATTCTTCCAGTGATGAGCTGTGACAAACATCTGAAATGCTGCCCACCAGGGAGGCTTAATGAGACTCAGTGCTAAGACATTGACTGTGGAGTGGTCATGTAGCAATACTATTTACCCACATAACTACACTGAATTTGTAGAACTCTATACCTAATAACTGCAGAGCACTATTCTTTACCAGATCACACACTGGACTACCAAACAAATCTCAGTAAACTTAAAATCACTGAAATTCACATATTATGTTCTTTGATAATAATGGGCCAATTTAAGAAGACAATACAGGATAATGATATAAAAATATCAATGATATCTAAGAAAAGACAGTGTCTAGAGAAACTCCAAAGATTTGGGAATTAAACAGCACACTACTTCATAATACATGTGTCAAGAAAGAAAATTACATGGGAAATTGGAAAATAGTTTAAAACAAACCATAATGAAAAAAATATCAATATTTGCTGGATACAGCTAAAACAGAGTTTAGAGAAAAATTTACAGATTTAAAAAATCATAATATAAAAGAAGAAAATTTTAAGATGAATAGTCTAAGATACTCCT